TTATTCTACTCTACTCTATATTCTACTCTACTCTACTCTATTCCTTATTCTATTCTATTCTATTTCTTATTCTATTCCTGATTCTATTCTACTCTATTCTACGCTACTCTACTCTACTCTACTCTACTCTACTCTATTTATTTCTTATTCTATTCTATTCTATTCTATTCTATTCTATTCTATTCTATTCTATTCTATTCTATTCTACTCTATTCCTTATTCTATTCTATTCCTTATTCTATTCCTTATTCTACTCTACTCTACTCTATTCTACTCTATTCCTTATTCTATTCTATTCCTTATTCTACTCTACTCCACTCTACTCCACTCTACTCTACTCTAGTCTAGTCTAGTCTATTCTATTCTATTCCTTATTCTATTCCTTATTCTACTCTATTCTACTCTATACTCTACTCTACTCCACTCTATTCCTTATTCTATTCTATTCCTTATTCTATTCCTTATTCTACTCTACTCTACTCTACTCTACTCTACTCTACTCTATTCTATTTATTTCTTATTCTATTCTATTCTATTCTATTCTATTCTATTCTATTCTATTCTATTCTATTCTATTCTATTCTATTCTATTCTATTCTGGCAAATCACCCAGAGGGAGTGTACCAAGAGGCCAGAGACCTGTATATTAACTACTGTAATCCAGAAGGTGACAAACAATTACAGGTCTGGTGCCTTCACCATCAAGCAGGGACCAATTGTGATTTTTAAAAGGGAAAAGAGCTTCTGTTTTCCTTTGGGAGAAGCGTAGGAGGTGGGGTACCAAGATCATGGCATCCGGCCCTCTCAATTCCTGGCAAATAGATGGGGAAGAAATGGAGGTAGTGACAGATTTTATCTTCCTGGGCTCCAAGATCACCATAGATGGGGACTGCAGCCAAGAAATGAAAAGACGCTTGCTCCTGGGGAGGAAAGCTATGGCAAATCTAGACAGCATACTAAAAAGCAGAGACATCACCCTGCCAACAAAAGTGCGTATAGTCAAGGCCATGGTTTTCCCAGTTGCAATGTATGGCTGTGAAAGTTGGACCATAAGAAAGGCTCAGCGCCAAAGAATTGAGGCCTTTGAACTATGGTGCTGGAGAAGACTCCTGCGAGTCCCCTGGACTGCAAGGCGATCAAACCGGTCAGAGGATATCAACCCTGACTGCTCTTTAGGAGGCCAGATCCTGAAGTTGAAACTCAAGTACTTTGGCCACCTAATGAGAAGGAAGGACTCACTGGAGAAGGGCCTAATGCTGGGAAAGATGGAGGGCAATAGAAGAAGGGGACGACAGAGAAGGAGGTGGCTGGATGGAGTCACTGAAGTAGGCCTGAGCTTAAATGGACTCCAGAAGATGGTAGAGGTCAGGAAGGCCTGGAGGAACGTTGTCCATCGGGTCACGATGGATCGGACACGACTTTGCAACTAACAACAACAACAACAACAAAAGAAATCAGGAGATTGAGTTCTGTGCCAGTTCCTCTCTCAACTGTGCCCAGTTGTCATGGCTCATCTTCCAGACTTCCCTACTAGCTCACATTGAAAGGGATCGGCAGATCCTAGGGGGAGTGTCTGTGGGTGAGGACTCCACAACTTGGCTTTATTCTATAGTCAGGGAAATCTTTCAACATCCTTCATCCTGCTGCAGCTTGAGAAGGGAGGATCTCAGGGGGGCGTACCCCTGTCAACAGTTCACACACCCCCTTCACACAAATGTCTGGTGTCCTCTTTGTCTCTTCGGCTCTCCCAAGGGTTAAATCAACCAAGCTGAGATTTCACAGAGCGGCTTTGTTATTTGAGAAGCCAGCCAAAAGACTGGTTACAACTAACATTTTCCTGCTGCTGCAAGGAGATTGAACGCTTCATGGGGACCCTTTAAAAAAAAAATTCTAACCTCTGACCAGCTGTGACTGCAGCTAGGACTAGCAAAAGTGCTGGGCTCCAAAGGCTGCAGGCGCTACTTTTTTCCGTGGCTGAGAAAGGTGAGCTAATATGGCGAGGAGGGTGGCTTGAAAAAAGCTGAGCAAGGGAAGGGAGAAACAGCATACAAAGAGTAAACAGGCCGCAGGAAGGGTGATAACTGCGAAGAATCCAGCGGCACCTTTTCACAGGGGTCATCAATCAATCAGAATAGAGCTGGAAGGGACCTTGGAGGTCTTCTAGTCCAGCCCGCTGCTCAAGCGGGAGATCCTATATAGCCTTTCAGATAAATGGCTGTCCAGTCTTCTCTTAAAACCCTCCCGTGATGAAGCCCCTACAACTTCTGAAGACAAGCTGGTTCTACTGATTAATTGTCCTCACTGTTAGGAAGTTAGCTCTAGGTTGCTTCTCTCCTTGATTAGTTTCCATCCAATGTTTCTTGTCTTGCCTTCTGGTGCTTTGGATAATAAGTTGAACCCCCTCCCCCGCTTCTTTGTGGCAGCCCCTTAAATACTGGGACAGTGCTATCATGTCACCCCTAGTCCTTCTTTTCTCTAGACTGCCCATGCCCAATTCCTGCAACAGGTCTTTATATGTTTTTGTCTCCTGGCCTTTAATCGTCTTAGTTGCTCTTCTTTGCACTTTTTCCTAAAGTCTCAACATCTTTTTTTGTAATGTGGTGACCAAAACTAGATGCAACTATTCCAGGAGTGGTCTTACTAAGGTTTTATAAAGCAGTACTAATACTTCACGCGTTTTTGATTCTATGCCTCTGTTTATACAACCAAGGATTTTATTAGCTTTTTTGGCCGCTGCCATGCACTGGTGGCTCATATTTAAGTGATCGTCCACTAGGGCCAATCTAAAGTCCCTCTTACAGTTACTATTTTTGAAAGGGGCTCTGCTCGCTTGTGCAAGATGGCTGCTGTTCGTGCGAGAGGGGCTTTGCATGCTTGTGCAAAATGGCTGCCGCTAGTGCAAGGGGAGCTTCACTCACGAGCGCAAGTGGCTGTTTCTCATGCAAGGGGAGCCTCATGCACGCACTTGCCTGCCGTTGCGCGACCCAATTCTGAACAGGCTGCGGCCCAGTAGTGGGTCACAGTCCAGGGATTGGAGACCCCTGGACTAGACAAAGCCCATCCAGATATAACTAAATACATAGCAGACCCTAGGAATTTGCATTCCAGACATAATTGCCTCCGATTTAGAACTGATACGGCCAATGGTGGTTTAACCTCCATATCTTTATCTCTTTCCATTTCCAAAACTATCTAGGGCAGGGGTAGGCAACCTTGGCTCTTTTATGACTCATGGACTTCAACTCCCAGAATTCCTGAGCCAGCCATGCTGAGGGGAAAGGGAGAGGTTTCCAAGTTGAGCCATGCTGGCTCAGGAATTCTGGGAGTTGAAGTCCACGAGTCATAAAAGAGCCAAGGTTGCCTACCCTGATCTAGGGTTTCAGCCACCTTGATCGATACGTTGATGAATTCTTGGTGAATTCTTTATTGTGAGTAGTCCTCGGCCTACGACCACAACTGAGCCCAAAATTTCTGTTGCTAAGCAAGACAGTTGTGAAGTGAATTTTGCTCCATTTTACGACCTTCCTGGACACAGTTTTTAAGTAACCCGCTACCGTGGTTAAGTTAGTAGCACGGTTGTTAAGTGAATCTGGCTTTCCGATTGATTTTGCTTGTCGGGAAGTCGTAAAAGGTGATCACATGGCCCAAGGACACTGCAATTGTTATAAATATGAGTCAGTTCTCAAGCATCCGGATTTTGATCATGTGACCCTGGGGATGCTGTTAACGGTCGTAAAGGTGAAAAACGGAAGTCACTTTTTCCAGTGCCATTAACTTCGAACGTTAACTAAATAAAATAAATGGTTGTAAGTTGGAGACTGCCAGTATTCCCTTGAAGGTGCACGCCCACTGAGGTTATTGGAGCAATGACAAGCTTATCTCTTTGTCAATTCTGGACACTCCTTGGCTGGGTATCCACGCCCACTGAGGTTATTGGAGCAATGACAAGCTTATCTCTTTGTCAATTCTGGACACTCTTTGGCTGGGTATCCTGAAAGCCAGGCTCTACAGTAATCGGTTCACCTAGTTGCAGGTTAATTGGCAATGATGTTTTCATTTTAAAATGACAGCACTTGCAATAATGCCAGCTGGCCAGCAAATTCTTTTTTTTTTAGACCTATTGGTATGAGGTGGAGGAGAAGGAAGAGGCTACTGTCAACCCTTCCTCCACCAGCAGTGATATTACCATAAGTGGGCATGTAGGCTGGCTAGTTGAAGGGATGGGAGATTATCAGAAGGACCTTCCCTTTAACCAGGGTTTCCCAACTTTGGCAACTTGAAGACGTGTGGACTTCCGGCTGGGGAATTCTGGGAGTTGAAGTCCACGCATCTTCAAGTTGCCAAGGTTGGGACACCCTTACTTTAGCATCTCCAGAGCTTCCTTATGCCTTGTTTAATGAAGAGAAGGACGAGGGGGGACATGATAGCCGTGTTCCAATATCTCAGGGGCTGCCCCAAAGAAGAGGGAGTCAAGCTATTCTCCAAGGCGCCTGAAGGCAGGACAAGAAGCAAGGGATGGAAACTCATCAAGGAGAGAAGCAACCTAGAACTAAGGAGAAACTTTCTGACAGTTAGAACAATTAACCAGTGGAACAACCTGCCTCCAAAAGTGATGAATGCTCCAACACTGGAAGTTTTTAAGAAGAGACTGGACAGCCATTTGTCCGAAATGGTGTAGGGTTTCCTGCCTGAGCAGGGGGCTGGACTCAATGACCTCCAAGGTCCCTTCCAACTTTATTATTATTATTATTATTATTATTATTATTATTATTATTATTATTATTATTATTATTATTATTATTATTATTATTATTATTATTATTATTATTATTATTACCCTATTTCTCTGAGCAGGTGACACCCAGGTGAGTGAGAAGAATGAAGAGACCCTTCAACTAGAAGATTCTGAGCCCAACGAGATATTCCCCAGGAGCAGAGGCCTCTTGGAGCAATTCTCATTTGATTTGAGAGAAGCTTCTAGAAGTCCCCAGACCACAGATATGAAAGAGGGGAAGAGACCAGTTCTTCCCATTCCAGAAGCTCACCAGCAATTGAAAGAACCCAGACTTTACAATCGCGGGTCTGTGAAGAGGTGCGTGGATTGTGGGAAGACTTTTAAGCAGAGTTCCAGCCTGTACAGACACCGGAGACTCCACACTGGGGAGAAGCCGTATGGCTGCATGGAGTGTGGCAAGACCTTCAGCCGGAAGTCGCATCTTATTACACACGAGCGGACCCACACAGGAGAGAAGCCCTACGACTGCCTGGAGTGCGGCAAAAACTTCAGCAGGAAATCCCACCTCACCACTCACAAGAGGATCCACACGGGGGAAAAACCCTACAAGTGTGGGGAGTGTGGGAAATGTTTTAGTCAGAGTTCGACCCTGGCGGCCCACGAAAGGTCCCACACGGGTGAGAAGCCATTCACATGCCAGGATTGTGGGAAGAATTTCCATCGGCAGTCGGGTCTTTCGGCGCACGAGAGAACACATACAGGGGAGAAGCCGTACCAGTGCACCGAATGTGGGAAGAGTTTTAGCCAGAGTTCGGGACTTTTAGCCCACGAACGGACCCACACAGGCGAAAAGCCCTACCGGTGCACGGAGTGTGGGAAAAGCTTCTGCGAGCGCACAGCCCTTGTGAGACATCTGAGGACTCACACTGGGGAAAAACCGTATACTTGTGCGGTCTGTGGGAAAAGTTTCAGCCAGAGTTCGGGCCTTTTGGCGCACGAGCGCACCCACACTGGGGAGAAACCTTACAAATGCTCAGACTGCGGGAAGAGATTTGGGCATCGCTCTGACCTCCTCAGGCACCAGAGGATCCTTAAAAGGGGGAAGCCGTACAAATGCTGCAAATGTGGGAAATTTTTCGGCCGCGGCTCAGATCTCCTCCAGCATCAGCAGATCCACACGGGAGAGAAGCCGTATAAATGCACCTGTTGTGGGAAGTGTTTCAGCTGGCGGTCAAATCTTATTAAACACGAGAGAATCCACACAAGAGTGAAAACTCTTCAATGAACAGTGGGGAGTCTAAAAAGTCTCCTCTTCAAATGCAACAGGCTCTACACCAGGGGTGTCAAACTGCCGACCCGCGGGCTGGACGCATCACACGGAAGCCGCACCCACCCCATTGCCGGCCATTGCAAAACAGTCACGTGACGTCTCAAGTTTGACATGCCTGCTCTACGCAAACGAAGGACACGGTACCAATTATTTTGTAGTCCTCGACGTACGACCACAATTGACCTCAAACCTTCGGTTGCTAAGCGAGACGGTTGTTAAGTGACTTTTGCTCCATTTTACGATCTTTCTCACCACAGTTAAGTGAATCATGTGCAGTTATTAAGTCAGGAACACGGTCGTTAAGTGAATTTGACTTCCCCAATGACTTTACTTCTCAGAAGGTCACAAAAGGAGATTGTGTGACCCCAGGACACTGCAACTGTCGTAAATACGAGTCAGTTGCCAAGCATCTGAATTTTGATCACATGACCATGGGGAGGCTGCAATGGTCGTTAAGTGTGAAGACAGGTCATAAGTCACTGTTTTTCAGTGCCGTTGTAACTTAGTGAACGGTCACTAAATGAACTGTTGTAAGTCAAGGACTGCCTGTATGCCGATGGTGAGAAATTAGCGAGAATTGTAACTCACACTTACTACAGGGCAGTACATACAGTAAAACTGTTGCAGAAAATCTCCAAAGACAGAAAGAAAAAATATTACAGACAGGTGTGTGAGTGTTGTGGGGGATACCATAAGCAGGTGCACAGGTGCCTTGGGAGGGCAGGGATTGCTGTGGACCCGCCCAACTGGGCAAATAATTGGTAGGAACAGGAGCAACCTGCCACTTCTGCCAGATTACCCATTGATTCTGCTTGTGGGAAAACAGCAGGGAACACTGGAAATGGCCACCATGTGATAACGGCTCACTGTGATGTTATAATCGCAACCTGAACCTGAGCATCCAGACTAGGATCACAGAATAATAGAACAGTGTTGAGGGGGACCTTGGGGGCCTTCTAGTCCAACTTCCTGCGCAACAGGAGACCCTATACTAGGGGTAGGCAATCTTGGCTCTTTTATGACTCGTGGACTTCAACTCCCAGAATTCCTGAGACAGCCTGGGAGTTGGGAAGTCCACGAGTCATAAAAGAGCCAAGGTTGCCTACCCCTGCCCTATACCAATGGTGGCGAACCTATGGCACGCATGCCAGAGGCAGCACTCAGAGCCCTCTCTGTGGGCATGGGCATCACACCACACCCCAGCCCCACCTCCCCCCACAACCCCCTCATCAGCAGCCCCCCCCCGAGCAGTCACCCCCGGCACGGCCTGCGCAGAGCAGTGCAGCCAAGCACGATGTCAATGCTGCTAACATTGGATATTCTTGCTTTGACAAAATATGCAGAACTGTCTGGTATTTTTAGAGTTAACTTAGATGATGCTGGGAGGGGAGTAATTAAGATAAGGAATACCAGGCTACAGGTCAGAAGTGAACCTTTGCCCTTCGGGCTGATTGGAGAATGTGATTTATGACTGCAAAATAGAGGAGGGGAATAGGCTGGAATATTATGTGTAGGGGAAGGGAATTCAGATCTTAGCATCCTCCATGCCATGCTGACACTGTGTTTACATGATTAAAGACTTTTTAGGATAAACAATGCCTGGAAGTTCTTTGAAGTGTTCCATTAGCCGGAACCATGACACACATGGCAACTGGGCAGCAGAACAGCAGGGACAAGACTCCGCCCTCGCACCCCGTCACGCGCAGATGGTGATGTGGGGCGCAGGCAGAGGGTGTAGCCGCCATGGCGCTGCACGGCCGCCTGGATGATCTGCGGTGGGCTGTGAAGACGGTGGGTGGCCCTGCAGGCAGATGGGGAGGGTGGGGCAGGGCTGGAGTGGGCGGGTGGGTGGGGACAGGGACAGAGAGGGCGGGCCAGGATGGTTTTTGGGCACTCGGTCTCTAAAAGGTTCGCTATCACTGCGGCCTATACCAGGGGAGGGCAACCTCAACTCTTTTATGACTCATGGACTTCAACTCCCAGAATTCCTCAGTCAGCATAGCTGACTCAGGAATTCTGGAAGTTAAAGTCATGAGTCATAAAAGAGCCGAGCTTGCCTACCCCTGGCCTATCCCATTTCAGACAAGTGGCTGTCCAGTCTCTTCTTAAAAGCCTCCAGTGATGGAGCACCCACATCCATTCTGAAGATAAAGCCGTTCCTGCCTGTGGTACCCCCCACCCACGCGACACTGCAACAGTTGACAGTCCAAGGACAGATTGTCGGTCCCGCTCATTCAGCGCCATTGTTAACATTGAACAGTTACTGAACAAGCAGTCCTAACCTGAGGACTAGCTGTACACCCCAGAGCTTACTAGCACCGATGACGTTACTTAGTGTGAGTAATGAAACGTCTGCAAGAAAACAAGCGAGCTCAAGAGGGCACACCAGAGAATCCACACTTAGGAGTGCCCCATTTACAAAAAAAAGTTTTAGCAAGCAGACCTCTTATCACCAAATACCAGAGATCTTGCCTAGGGGAGAAACCAAGCTCAGCCTGTAGAGAAAAAAAACTTCCATTTGAAATCAAAAGTTATTCCATTCCTGCCCAGGGGATAAATCACCTTCCCCCAGTGCAGTATATATTTTGAGTGGCAGGTCTTCCCTTACCAAACACATCCAAAGCCATACAGGTGAGAAACTGTACAGGTGTTACGAGCGTGCGAAAAGCTTCATTTCTTAGCACAGATTGTTGAAAAGGCGAATGAGTGCCTTCTACAAATGCAGCAGGAAGAGTTCACTAACCCCCTTGTTCTCAGAAATGGAAAACTGAGGTGTGAATGCAGCCACAGGGGCGCTCATGTAGAAAAGGATGGTGCAAATTCAAACAAGCAGAACTAGATTTAGTTGGCGCTCAACTCTTTAAGAACTACATTTTTTTAAAAAAAAGAGTGGCTCCGTATAATACATTCATTCTTTTGGGCCAGAAATTAAGATGAAACTGCCAAGTGGAAAATATGGAAATGGTTTAGGAACAGGGATGTCCAACCTTGACAACTTTTAAGACCTGGGGACTTCAACTCGCAGAATTCTCAGCCACCCATGTTGGCTGGGGAATTCTGGAAGTTTAATAATAATAATAATAATAATAATAATAATAATGATGATGATGATGATGATGATGATGATGATGATGATGGTGGTGGTGGTGGTGGTGGTGGTGGAAGGGACCTTGGTGGTCTTCTAGTCCAACCCCCTGCTCAAGCAGGAAACCCTATACCAGTGATAGCGAACCTTTTAGAGACTGAGTGCCCAAACTGCAACCCAAAGCCCACTTATGCATCGTCGAGTGCTGGGTGGGTGTGGCCCATTGCCTTGGTGTGGCCCATTGCGTGGCCATGGCTGCGGTGATAACGGCAGACTGGGTGGGACTAAAAAGTTCAATCAATTCCAACTTTGCAAGATCTTTTTTTTCCCGTGAGAAGTTGAAATTGACCGATTGAAGCTTTTTTTTTTTTTGCACACAGCGGTGGAGGCCTAAACCGAAAAGGTTTTATAAAACCCAGCTGAAGGCCTAGGAATGGGGCCACGGCGCGCGTGCCCAGAGAGGGCTCTGAGTGCCGCCTCTGGCACCCGCGCCATAGGTTCGCCACCACTGCCCTATACCATTTCAGAGAAATGGCTGTCCAGTTTCTTCTTAAAAACTTCCAGTGTTGGAGCATTCACCGCTTCTGGAGGCAGGTTGTTCCATTGGTTAATTGTTCTAACTGTCAGGAAGTTTGTCCTTAGTTCTAAGTTGCTTCTCTCCTTGATTAGTTTCCATCCGTTGCTTCTTGTCCTGCCTTCAGGTGCTTTGGAAAACAGCTTGACTCCCTCTTCTTTGTGGCAGCCCCTGAGATATTGGAACACTGCTATCATGTCCCTCCTCGTCCTCTTCATTAAACTAGACATACCCAATTCCAGCAACCGCTCTTTATATGTTTTAGCCTCCAGTCCCCTAATCATCTTTGTTGCTCTTCTCTGTACTCTTTCTAGAGTCTCAACATCTTTTTTACATCATGGTGACCAAAACTGGGTGCAGTATTCCAAGTGTGGCCTTACCAAGGCATTGTAAAGTGGCATTAAAGTTGTCAAGGTTGGACAAACGTGATTTAGAAGTATCTAACTAACCCTGTTGAAAGATTTCCAGTTTAAAAATAATCCGAAAGCCTGGCCTTAGATTTTGAAAATATAGTTATTAAACTCCTTGTAATTCCTAAAAAAATGAAATAAAAATAAAATAAAATAAAAATAAAAAGGACTTGTCATTTATTTATTTTTTTAAAGAAAACCTTCAGGTCCTAATTCAGCTGTCTTTCAGGGGCTAAAATTTGCCTGGAGGAAAAATATTTGAAACACGATTTCCAAACTTTATGAAGGCGTGTACAATTATTAAAATACCTGTATAAATTTGCTTGGAGGAAAAATATTTGAAACACGATTTCCAAACTTCATGAAGGCGTGTACGATTATTAAAATAACTGTATAACTTTTGATCCTTTCATCTTTTTCCTTTAAAACAGTCCCTGCCTGGATTAGATGAGATTGATTACATAGAAAGTTTAGATGCATAATCCTTACAGACTGAAAACGTACAGCAGGGGTCTTCAAACGTGGCCCTTTTATGACTTGTGGACTTCAGCTCCCAGAATGCCTGGCTGAGGAGTTCTGGGAGCTGAAGTTCACAAGTCATAAAAGGGCCACGTTTGAAGACCCCTGAGTTACAGAAACTAAGTTTATTTGGTACTATGGCCAGAGCTAAAGCACAGGAGGGCAAGTTTGCTTTTGCATTAAATTCCCAGGTCCCAGAACTGCCATCTTGACTATCCACCCTGCTTCAATCATCACGTTACCTCTGAATTCCCCACTCTTAACTTCCCTTTGGATTTGGTTGCCATGTCTTTGTATTTTTTTCACCTTGCTGTTCCACAAAGAAATCGCTTTCGCTTCCAAGCTTTATTATCTAGTATAAGCAAAG